AGTGGTAGTGTTCTGCTTTTTCCTGCTCAGCTCCTTCCTGCTCTTTTCAAACAGAAAATCAAACATTCCTACAGAATATTAGTGACAAAAAGTGAATTGCTTCCACAAGAGATGAAGCATTGAAGCATTATCCAGAGTGTGGCAAAACTTGGAAAAAAAAACTGCCTGGGGAATGAAAGAAGTGCTGTTCAGGGGCTGGAGCCACATTAAGCTGTTGACTGGGACAGCAAAGTAACACACTCTGCTGGCAAAGAGCATGGAGAGTGGATGCAGCTGTATCAACAGCTTCCCCCACTCGTGGGTACATACACAGAGCCAGCTTCACTGCTTCAGGCAGCTTTTCCAGTGGATTTGCATTTACAGTTGTGACTTCTCTTGGACGAGATGTGTCTGACAGGGACCTCGATTCCACCTCTGCCTGAATAACCCAACTACAGGCAGAGGTCTGTGAGTGTGGGCTAGGACAGATGAAAGTCCCTCAAGCTTTTAGTAGTATTTCAGTTTGATCCTATTAGGAAGCCCATATCATGGTACAAGCATACTCTAATTATATTTTAATATTATATTTTTAAAATTCTAAGTCATAATAATAATACAGAAGTTTTCTTGCAATTACTGTTTTTCTTGCTGAGTCTAAAAACTTTAATTTTATTGTTATGTCTGTGAATTAAAACTCTAATGATATAAGTTTACTAAAGAAGAGGACATGAAAATAAATAATAAGATTTTCATTCCTCCTCTAAAGCACTGCAGCCACTGTAGCAGTACTAATTAGAATGCTTATTCATACACATTGCTGAGTGCTGTCTTGGTAGCTCAGTAGAAATCCACCAGGCCACTACATCTGTGCATGTATTACCATCCTAAGAGGGAATAGCTGCTGAAATTGTGGTGAAATTCTGAGGAAGCTTATGTCCTTCCTTCATCACTTATAGGAGTGAAGGAGTCTGTTATGGGACTTGGCTGTGCTGTAATTTATTGTGCCACTTTCCTTCTGAAGCAACAAATCTTGAGGAATTTGGAAAGGCAGAGAGCAGAGTAGAAGAGAGGTAGTTTCCAAGGAAGGGCTTTGTTTAGAATAAAGGAAATTCTACCTCTGTTTGTACACAAGTATTTCTTATATCTGCATGTCTTGAATTTCCATGTAGGCATGAACCTTAATCACAGTAATGCATAGTCATAAAACTTACCTCAGTTGTCATTCTGTGTAATTGGAAATTGAATTTAGTCTGTACTTAATCTACAGGGTGTAGGACCCATTCCTCATTATACTTGCATGTTATTTTTGTTAGTATTTTGGATATACACAAAAAAGTTTATGGATGCATGGATTTGTTCATATGAGCTTTAAATACTGGACTCTCTTTTCTTCCAGTACCTCTAAATTATCAGATTGTCCTGAAAAAAATTTAATTTCCATGACATCTTTCTAGAACCTAAAAAGCATGAGCCTGCTTATACATATTCCCTTCCATGTCCAAAATATGCATTTTACTGCAATGATAGTTGGGGGTGGGGGAAGCTTGTTTGTTTCACAAACGACAGGGCATGATCTTACTTTGAAGTTTGTTTTTTATTTTTTTGTGAATTTGAATGATTTTTGGGATCTGCAAATATGTGATAATGGAAATGATGGGGATATTAATAATGCCATGAGTATGTATTTACAGTTAGTTAAGCACTGAAATGACCATTAGCCAAAGGGAATGGACACTGAGAATTAAACAAAAGTGAAGTTGATCTAATGAAATCTATATTTTGCCATGTTGAAACACCATGGCTTATGGAAAACTTACTTTCACTCTTTCCTAACTTTGTTGCCTTTTTTTTCTGAGTGAAAAAGATCACAAGCTAAAATGTACCTTGGGGAACCTTTTTTTTTCCAGACCACTTAATTACTTGAAAAGATAATCTGAGTAACATTTGATCAAATTTTTCATTAAAACTCCCTTTAAATTTTTCATTAGCTTTATAATTAACTGAATTTGTACAGTCATCAGTCTGTTTACAGCATCTTGCTTTGTAAAGGGCTGTACCATAACCCCGACTCTGTCTTTGCTTTCCAGATTATCACACAGAGTAGGGTAAAGTGAGCCCTTGGTGACTGGGACATCCGTTTCTCTATAGCATCAGACTAATAGATGCATTTCTTTAGGTAAAAGGAAAATGGGCTTCCTGCTCCAAGTCTTATTTGAATTTTCATTTCATTTGATTAAGGTGGGGAGGAGTGCAAATTAAACAAAAGAATTGAAAATGAAATTAGAAAGATGTGTTGCTGAAACTCCACTGACAAGAGAACCTGACATGATTTCACCACGAATAATGCTTTCGGACTTTATAGGGCAGGCTGCAGTTTGAATGGATGATATCTTAGGTTTTGTAAAGCTAAAAGACTTATCTGTTTTTTTTAAAGGCAGTCAGATAAGAGAATCTAAAGTTATGTCAAAAAAATTACATTTTAGTTATTAGTGGCTAGTTTGTAAATATCAAAGACCCACTT